ATGTATATAGATATATATGTTATTTTTTATGTTGTATGTATGTACCGTCACAAAAAACAAAGTTTACACCGGTTCTCCTCTCCGGCTAAATTACCCAGATGGTGTTTTATCCGTCCAAAGGGCGTTTGTGAAAGTAGGAAGGAAAATCAAAATCTAGAAAACAGGATTAAATGAATCCAAGAAGAGAAATTTCAACTACGGGAGAGATTTTTGGAAGCCCAAAGTGAACACTTTGAAGAAATGCACAATTTCTCATGAACAAACAAGACCTACAAATTAAAAATACGCAATACCAGCAGAACATTCAGATTATAAATGAAGGTTGGGGAATAATGTTTGGTCAAGCACGGCAGCAGATTATAAACCTGATGAGAGAAAAGAAGAACAACAGCACACACAATTAAGAGAAATGTCCTACCAGCTTCAAGAAACAGAAGCTATAGTGGAATCTCATACAGTGGCACTGTAGGAATTAAATAAAACAAGCAGACAAAAGACAAAAGTAAAATTCTCGCCCTTTTTCCAGTTCAGGTTTGGTTTTAAATCCGTATTTGTGTCATTTAACCCACATTAGTTCCTTTACACTTAACCTAGGTTTCTTTAAGTCAATATTAGTCAACTCAGTTCTAAGTTTAGTCCAAATCAAAAACAAAGAATCAGCAGTTCTGAAGGTCCCGCTTCAATGGGAGACGATGGAGGCAACATGGGAGGCTTGGCCACTTGGTTGGTGGCGAGCTTGGAAGGAGCAGGACCTCACAACGGAGCGCACACTGCGGGCACGGACCAAACAGGACCCACCGGCTCAAGCTCAGGTGCTGGCATCCGCTGCCCCGGACCTTTGGGCTCTGGACAGGGTTCAGGACTAGACCATGTGGTGACCTCTGGCTCGGGTTCAGAACTAGGACCAGATGGTGCTGAGACTTCTGGAGCAGCACTAGATTGCTCAGGGTGGGGTGGGTGGGGAACTGGTGACTGAGGCTGATGCTGAAGCCTGACCACTCTCTCCGTGGGGACAGGAACTGGTGAAGGGACAGGCTGGACCCTAATTGCCCCCACTCTGGGAATTGGTCCAGGGACAGGGCAGATAGACAAAGAGGCTGGAGAGTTAGTGGCAGTGATGACAGCCTAAACCCACCAACTGTTATCGTTGGGGAACTGAGCAAAGGAAAAGCAGTAACTCTTGCAGCTTGGATGCTACGAGGCCCCCCTAGAGCCAGGGTACACCAAGCTTCCTCCCTCGTCAACTCACCCAGATAGGATGCCTGTTGCCGATTCTTTACTAAATTTGCTGGGTCCATTCTGTGGTCACGTCATACTGTCAAGAGGTGCTGGAATCCTCAGACAAACGTAAACTCAAAATGCAGCTTTATTAGATAGCAAGGTGGCAGCCTTAGCCTTCTCCTTTACAAGGAGGGGTAGCAGTTCTACTCTGAAACCTTCCCAAATGACTTAACTCCTCACCCTATCGCTAAGGCAGAGTCCATCTGCCTTTTGGAGAAAACTAATTTTGGCTGCTTGTATCGACAATCTCATTCTAATAGTGTTAACAAAAAGATGAGGCCTAGATTAAAAGATCTCTGCACCATCTAGTGGTAGAAGGCAGCATAATAATTAGGACAATAATTTACTGCCATTGGATATCGATTAAAATTTTAACAGTTAGATTATAAGACTAGTAAGTCTGGTAGCGACTAGTCACAACAACGACAATTAGTTGCCTAGGCGACAAGTGGCGCACATCCTAAGTATAAAGCTTGCCACAATCAAAGTAGTTACAAATGAATCTTTTAGTCAACCAACCAGCTCAGTTTAAATACACTTATCACTGACAAGGTCCTTTAAACAATGAATGAATTTCTTGATGCATGCTCAATAATCCAAATAAGTAAACCTGAGTGATATGATGTGTGGAGCTTATAACACAGAAATCAGTCAATGAAGTGAAAACAAACCACCTTTTTTTTCCTAACCCTAACTGGCATTAGATGAAGTAGTCCTAAATCTACAACACTAAAAACGCTTTAGTTTCAGCTTCTCCGATAGGAGGATTTGTTGTTTTTCTTTATCCAATGTGATTATGAATAGAGACTGACTAGGCCAGTGTTAATAACCAATATATAACCAGTATGCATAGGTTGTTCAGTATGGGCCAGTAGGAAAGCTTAGAAACCTAACAGATGCTGGAGATAAGTTATGTTAGCACGTTTTCTTTTCCGCAGAGCAAATCTAGCTGTGGTTTCCACTGTCTGTGGCATTTCTACAGTCAGCAGCTGTCTTCTTCTTTTTCTTCTTCCTCTTCTTTTGGCTGCTCCCTTTTAAGTCCTCCTTTTAAGTATATCTACTGTGTATATAGACACAATATTAGCTAATATATTAATACATTCAAAATAAAATATGGAAACACAAAATGCAAACTAAGTAATTTGATTGCACGTAAATCTTCCATGTAATGTGTTACTTAAGTACAATGTAAAACATTACATTTGGGGAAATTTGGTTAAATAAAATGCACTTGATTAGTATGCATTCATTCAATTTATACCAGGCACATTTCCCTAATGATTGATTATTGGTATGAATAAACCTTTGATTTAAAATATTTTAATTGCTTTTTACTCAAAATGATTGCTTCATGTTTATGGAGAGCAAAAAAAAAAATGCACTTGCACTTTTTATTTATTTATTTTATTAAAGCTCGAATCTATAGATAGATAGATAGATAGATAGATAGATAGATAGATAGATAGATAGATAGATAGATAGATAGATAGAAATCACTGTGAACACAGTGGGATAGAACAATAATATACAAAATTTCAATATTGCAACCGTTTAACTGTATAAGCTTGTATTATAGTGAAGTGTATAATTAAAGGCGCATGGCAGCTCACCACCTCAGCTCAAACACCTATTATTGGGCGCACAGTACATTAGGTGGCAAAAACATAAAACCGCAAAGCACTTCCACTTCGACTCTAATGTGTTTCCTTATATAAATAGTCACACCTGTTTTCTAACCCTTCTTTTGCCATAACTTCCATCTTCAGGGATTAACCCACCTGGGTTAGCTGTGTGAGTTTGGTTTGCAGCTGTAGCAAAACTCTCAAATATTTCCTTGACTCTAAAAATAAGCCACACACGGGCTCTTTCTTTCGTTCACTGAAACGGAAACAAATTATCAACGAGCCATCCTTTTCTCCGAGTTTCTGAAAGCGATTTTTTTTTCACATGTGGGAAAAACCCACTTGTTGAAATATCGCTTCAGCTTCGGCTACACAACTGCAAACTTCACAACCAATAAGAAAAAATGTCATTTTAAGGTTAAGACTCTAAAGAACACAATTACATGTTCGTTAGTGTCACATACCTCACTTTTTTTCTTCACACCACACAGTCACGGCCCACGGAGTGCAGGAGGTAAGAGACTCGGGCTCGGGGAGGAAATTTATAAAACGACTCACATCTCGCGATAACTGCGCTCAGAACGTGAACTGAAGCCACTTCAGTCAGTCCCACAGAATGTGAAGCTTGCGCTTATGTAGCATGACTTTGCATTTTTCCCTCCTTTCCTCATGACTTTTCTGGGAATCCACGCTCTTGTGAAACCCAGAGGAGTAAGAAATAAAGGCTGGACTCCAGGAAATAACCTCAAGATTTTGTGTTTGGCGTTAAAGTTGTTTAATAATCTCAGAGGAGCTAACCCTCTGTGTTTGAACTATCCCCATTCACTGTAATACACTGAATTATTGATGTAAAACTAAAAATATATAAATGAACAGGTGTCTAATGGCTGGCACTTCCTTAATCCAGGGGTCATATGAGGTTCCATCATAAGACTCAAGCTCTTTCACGATGTGCTGCCAATCCATTGTTATGCACAAGCAGTAAATAATAGTATCATATTACTCTTTCAGCTTCACCTCACTTCTGCTGCCTTTTTTCTCATTACCAGTAATATGCAAAGTAACTTACTAGCTCAAGAAACTAGTGATACTCAACCGATGGAGCATATTTTTTTTCCAATTGTCTGTGGACTCATTTCAATGAGGGCTAAGTTCCTCTTTTTCTTTTAAGTAGAAATAACACTTCCCCTAGAAAACAATAGTAAATATACCTGTTTTATACCAAGTACAATAAATCTGTTCACGATTTAGGTTTCAACTACACACGATGTGTTTTAGAAGCACTTCCTTGAAGTCTGGACTTGCCTTTAAATTATTATTGCAACATCTTATTGCTTCTATCCAGTGAGCTGCCAGAAGGTATTTTTCTTTCTAATTTCCTCATCACTCCCACTAGATTTACTGAATGACTCTGCTGTCTGTATTTTCTGTAATCTTGTGAAGAGGAAGTTGCTACATTTTACTTACATTTCTAAGCGAGTCCATTTAGGTAAAAAAAGAAAAGAAAAGAAAAGAAAAGAAAAGAAATGCCCGGTGCTATATGATATGGATAAATAATAAGTAATAAACTATAAATGAACTATTGTGGGTCACCTGTTTGTCTCTCAGAGAGATTAAATAGAAGCTAGAGGCCAATTTTTATTTGAACATGGTGAAGAGGTGCAGCGTGGGCAGCATATTAAAATGATTGTTAAGCCAAACCACTTTCTTTCAAACTGCATTTGTCAGAGCCTTTGCAGAGGACGAGTTTTCTCCGTGCCTTTTAACTTAAAGTTTCAGACTCTATGGGACTGTTACTAACACCTAGGAGAGTTACCTGGTGTACCAAGGTGTAATCTAATTACACCAAAGTATTATTGACGTGTGACAGCAAACCATATGTGTAACAGTTGCTATGATTCAGGAAGAGAAAAAAAACAACAAAAGGGAAGAGAAACCGGTTTCAGGAATCCAGACAGTGGTTAATTTTGAGTTGGGGGGTTTTCAGCTATAGTAGACCTTTTTCAGAGCAGTCATTCTTTTATATGAAAATGCAAAGACAGGTTTTAATTATGACATTAATTCAAACTCTACACCCGAATGATTCAATCTAGTTTTAGATTTATATATTTTATTTATTGCACTAAATCACATAAATAGTTGCTTCAAGGCACTTTATATTATAAGGTAAATACTTTACAGTAATACAGACAAAACTCGAGCAATTACACAATCCCCCTTTGAACACGGACTTGGTGGCAGTGGTGAGGAAAAACTCCCTTTCAACAGGAAGAAGCCTCCAGCAGAAGCAGGCTCGGAGAGGGGCCGCCATCTCCCACGACCGGTTGGGAAAGAAGCCCAATCTGTGCTACTGTTAACACCTGTTTACCTATTTATTCATGCCCCAATAGTGTACTGAAAAAAGTGTATTGTGTCCTGTTTGGGAAACCTAAATGAAATAATGTTTTCTCTCACACTAGTGAGTCTAATGCCAGTGCCCTAAACATTTTGGCTAAAACCTTCTGAGTACATATATCATTAAATTCCTTTTTAAACTCAGGAAACCAACCACAGTGTGTGTTTTTTCTTCTTCTTTCTATTTTTCAGGTTACGTTAGTTCACCTCAGTCGACCTACAGAGGCTGCTGTCAGTTCAGCCTCTCGCTGTCACCGAGCAGTGTCTTTGCACACTGTTACCATGGAGCTCCATCAAGGGCTAAATAAGAGGGGAGGGCCTACAATAACCTCCTGTTAGAAGCACTGCGGTGGGCTAATGATCAAACACTGCGCTGTGTTCATCTCCTGTCTCACAATATGCCCATAATTAGTACATCTGCTCCCCTAGTGATTCCAAAGCAGCTGGATGTTTGAAGGGCTCTCACACAGCTCTCATCCCAGCTTCATTCAGCCGTGCTGAATAACAAAACAGCTGTAGCAGTCACAGATGTGACGATGGACTGAAAAATGGCTTCAAATGATTGGTGCTTTTAATCCACAATTATTAAATTAGTACAGTTTAGTAAAGCTCATTTAGGGTTATCTGGCTTTATTGGCAGACTTTGAGGAAAGAAAAGCTTTTCTAGTTCTGCTACTTCCAATGACTCAGTATCAGGGCATGGCATTAAAGAAATGCATTGAAAATCATTTGATCTTCCTTAGTGAGTTAGATGAAAAGATTATTAGCTTGTGCGATATGTAGGTGGATTCAGTACTCACTTAGCTTGGCCACCTACAAAGACAGGATACAGGTGGAAACAGAAAGTATTGCTCTGTGTGAACAAAATTCAACCTAGTAGCATCGCTAAAGCTCATAAATGACCACTATAAATCTTTTTGTAAAAAAGTACTTTTTACTATTTTTTAAAACTGAATAATCATATTTCATCCAATATTTTCTTTTGTTTTTGTTTAAAAATATAATGGAATGGAAATCCAAATTCCCCCTTCACCAACATTGTCAGGTATTTAGGGGAGGATGATTTGAAATATATCTGTATGATGCTGATTTGTTGTCAGGTCCAGACTTGTTTTGATGAGGCAGCGGCACACTGGAGTCAGCAGGAGGCGATCATAGGGGAGCTGGAGTATCAGTGCTCCTCACAGCAGGACATGGGAGCAGTGTGTACTGCTGTTTTACATACATGCTGAGTGAAACTAAAACACAGTAATAGCACCATCAAATTCTACTAGATAGGCTATCCTTAAACAGTTACCCTTATACTGAACAACTCTGAGAAACATTAGAAATGAGTAAAAACTTGCATTTTTTGTTGCATTTATGGGTTGAGCAGCAGAGTTGAGTATGTGAGTTTTGCTGTCTGCTTTTGTCTGGTATTGAATTGGATGATTGAAACCAGAAGAAACAACACATATTGGACAAATTAATCGCTTACTTATTTAACAAGGAGCATCCTCTGTGGTATGTGAAAGACTCATACACAGCTACAAAAGCCTATCACCTGCTGCTAGTCACCAGCTAGGTCCCACAGTGCTGTGGGATGGTGTCCCAGTCTTCAAGAGAGTATGTTGGTCACTCTGACACGAAAAGCATGTCAAAGCTGATCCCACAAGCATTCGGTGGGGTTGGCGTGTGTCATCTTGGAGGACATAATTCAGTCCTAGACTGTGGAGATATGGGATTGCTATTGGTTGCAAAATCTCATCTTGACATCTCTCTGCATTGATATCATCTGCAATGTTGACAGTCTGGTTTTTCCAGTAAGGGAGATGTTGCCCCACACCATCACACAGCCTCCACCAAAAGCTGTTACCCTACTGGTGCATCCATCAGCATAGTGTTCTCCACAACATCTCAACACTTTGACCCTACCATCCAACAGCTGTAAGCAGAAACTGGACTCATCAATGAACAGCGCTAATCAGCCACTAATCAGGCACCGAAATGTTAGTATCTGGGTTATCTGAAGCTCAAAACAAGAGCCAATAGAAGAACAAGATTTTTGGCAGATAAAATACCCACACACTCAACCAACAAATGCATTTTCCTTACAAATGTGGCACCACTGATGGGGAAAATAAACAATATTTCCAACAGTACAGGATTTATTGCTAAAAAGCATTGTTACAACAAAGAAATGATCACCTACATTTCTTTACTTTTACTTACATAGTAAAATACTATACCTTTGCAAAATGATCCAATAAATGACTCAATAATGGTACGTTTTATTTCAATCATAGTTGTGTTTTTTTTTACTGTGATGCCGCTGTCTATTAACTAAGACAAAAAAACATTCACACTAAACAGCAGGTCACAGAAATAACTCTGACCTGATCTAACCATGTAACATTTATGTCACATTTGTGTGGGTAATTTACATATTTGAAGACATTTTCTTCAAAATATCCTATTTATTTAATATTTTGTAATTGTGTTGTTGTTCTTGTTGTTGTTTTAGTGGTGACATTACTAGAAATAAAAAACAAAATGACCAAAGGTTCTTAAAAGTGTTGCAAAACGACCTTAAGATCCCCAGGCAAGCTTTAGGGAACACTTCCTGAAGGTCTCTTAAAGATTAATGGTTGTTGGGACTGTTTCATAGTCAAAGAAGCCAGTGTGTACAATAATAACAGGGCTGCCATCAACGGTACTCATTATAACAGTTTCAATTGTTGTTTTTAGTATTGCACTGGAAGGATTAGCAGTATAATGAATAGGAGTGGTAATACAAGGAGCAGTATAACAATAGCAGCAGAAGTACTTGAGGTAGTAATGCGTGTAACTGTAGCAGCGGTACTTGCAGTCCTCTTGTTAGTACTTTGTACCTTTAAGAATTCTCCCGCGCGGGTCTACAAATAAGGAAAGCGACCGGAAGGAGCAGGGGTATTTCGCGCCAATTTGAAACAACGGAACACAGTCAGTCTGAGCGGCACGAGACACGAGCTGGGACGCGCGCGCCGCCGGGGGTCTTTTTTCTTTTTAAACTGTTCTTTCCCGTCAAAGGTGTGTAGTGGCCTCTCTGTTATTTAAACTTAAACGATACAAACTGGTACCAGAGGCCGAGGTACAGTTTGACCTGAGCTGAGAGTCCAGGCAGGGAGCTGAGCTGATTGTTTCTCTCCGTCAGGTGTGGTAAACATGGAGGAGGCCCACAAGCTGATTGGTACCGGCAAGAAGCACTTGGTGATGGGGATGGTAGTGGAGGCTGTGAGCACCCTGCAGGAGGCCAGCGGCATGCTGTGAGTTACCCTCAAGTCACGCTGGAGTTTCAGTGAGGTTGAACGTGAAATGGTCCCATAAAGTGGCCCTCGTGGTTACTTTTAAAACGCTCACTTGGGCTTCTTAAAACTAAACCGTGTGTTTCACTGTTTACATGATTGAAGAGTTTATAGGTGACAGTGCCTCGTGCAGGCTGATTCTGAGCAGGTGTGCAGATTGGTGCAAATGCAAAACGGCCGCTTTTTTTTTTTCTTTCTCCCCTCTGGTGTTTGAAAATGAACGTGTTTATGCAAATCACAAACTGCCTGCAGCTGTTCTTTGCATGTGAGCAGAAAGCGGTGACATTAGTTTAGCTTAGTGTTTTTCTTAACTTATATATTTCATTTCCATTAGGTTCTGTTTTATTGTTTAAGCTTAAACTTAGTTTGAATAATTCACTCGCTAATCCTTTTTATACGCCTAGTTTTTTTTAACTCCAGGAATCTTTCTAATTTGTTCTGGAGCAGCACGTGAGCAGTAATGGATGCCTGCTTTTCACTCTAAAATAAATGGTAAATTCTTGTTATAGGGCTAAAGAGTTTGGAGACACAGCGGACGAATGTGGCGAGGCTTTCTTCTGGTATGGCAAAGCTCTCCTGGATTTGGCACGGTAGGTTAATCAGGTTTAAACATGAGAAAGTCCAGCTCTTTAAGGTGAGGATGGAGGGGCCGCTCTGACTGCCAGACTTGTTGTAGGATGGAGAACTCGGTCTTGGGTAATGCTCTAGAGGGAGTGCCGGAGGAGGAAGAAGAGAAACCCAAAGACTCCAATGTTGAGAGCACAGACAATGTAGATGGTAAGGGAATAATGTGATATTTGGCTCGTTACGGTTAATCTAAATGTGCACACATCATTCCCAACTGTTCTGCTGTCAACAGAAAAGACCAGAGACGAGCTGAGGGTGCAGGTGTACGACGCCATGGCGGAGAAGAAAACTGAAGACGGGGAGAAGGTTGAAGGGAAGCAGAGTGAGGATCCACAGGAGAAGACGGAAGGAGCCGAGGCTGGTGACAAAAAGGAAAACACAGAAAAAGTAGAGGGGGAGGCTGAAAAGGACAATAAGAATGATGAAAGCAAATCTGAAAGTAAAGATAAGAAGGAAAAGAGTGGGGAGGAAGTGGATGCAAAGGACGACTCTGAACCTGCTGCTAAGGAGAAGGAGGGGGACTCTGCCGCTGCTAAGAAGGAGAAGACTGCTGCTAAAGAAGAGGAGCCAGCTGAGAAGATGGACTCTGCTGCTGAAGAGGAAGAAGCAGCTGCCGAGGAGGAAGCAGGTGACCTTTGCTCCTCCTGTCCTGATCCTGGCTTGGTAATGGCAGTGTTAGCTGCTGAAGCATGCAGAGCAGTGTATCTAAACTCATGACATTTGCTTGTAGATGGCGAGGAAGATGAGGAGGAAGGTGGCGACGATGTAGAACTGGAAGGTGATGCAGAGGAGCAGGGTGAAGGAGATGCCACTGGGGAGAAGGTACTGAACAAACAGCTCGCATGTTAAAAAAGGACTCAGCTGACTGTGTGAATTTTGAATTTCATGTTTTCTGTCTGTGTTCCTCTTTTAGGACAGTGACGATGAGGAGGTGGGTAACCTGCAGCTGGCCTGGGAGATGTTAGAAGTGGCCAAAGTCATCTACAAAAGGTAAAGGAAACACTTCAGAGCCATGATTTTTATCTTATCATTTTGCACCTGCATTTCAAGCTTGTAACCTTTTCCTCTTTGTTCTTATGAAAGGAAAGAGACGAAGGAGGCTCAGCTAATGGCAGCCCAGGCTCATTTGAAACTGGGTGAAGTTTCTGCTGAATCAGGTCTGAACAAATGTGCAGCTTTGCACATAATCATTGTTTTCTCTTTGATGCAATGAGCTTGAGGCTGTGTTGATGGCTCAGTGTTTGCAGCGGTGCTCAGTTTCTGTCAGGACTAAAAGTCTGTGAGCAGCTTGAGATTTCTTTAGTTCGGATTTGTGTACCTAACACTTGGTTGCAACACAGCTAAAACGTTGCCATTGTGCTGTTTGCCCACTTGGGGGCAGCCTAAATTAGTTGAACCATAAAATGTCTAAGCTTCAACTTTTTGAAATGCTAGTTTTCTGAGTGGATGCTCACATCCACACCCGGTAGTTACAGAACAGGTTTTTTTCGGTCGCATCACCACTTAAAGATCAAATCTTTAGCTAATGAAGTCTGTACTGTTCTCAGTTCATTGCCGTGTCCATGCCTGCTGACCCTGAACAGTGGATGAAACTCTGAGAATGCAGAGTTTGTTTGTTTGTTTTTTTTTAAATACATGTCAGGTGTTGATTTGCTGCTTCTCTTTTTCAGGGAACTATCCACAAGCACTGGAGGATTTCCAGGAGTGCCTGAAGCTGCAGGTGAAGCACCTGGACTCAGACAGCCGCCTGCTGGCAGAGACTCGCTACCAGCTCGGTGTGACCTATAGCCTGAACACGCAGTACAGCGAGGCCATCGAGTCTCTGAAGAGCTCCATCTCTATCATAAAGAACAGGCTTGGTAAGCATCGGCTCCTGGAGTGAAATTAGCTTCCAGAGAATCATCAATGCAATAATTAATACAATTCCAGACAAGCTGCAGGAGATGCTTGACAAAGCCGAAGGTCCAGAGGCTCTGCCAGAGGAGAGGAAGGAGCTGGAGGAGCTCAAAGCTCTGCTGCCAGAGATCCAGGAGAAGGTGGAGGACGCCACCGAAAGCCTGAAGACGGCGAGCGCGGCTGTGAAGGATGCACTGGTGAGTTTGGCATGGAGTTTGATTTAGCTGGAGGACGGTCATCAGAGCACACTGGTTAAAGTGGTGCTATCCACCAAGTGTGATGCCTGAATTGTTTTGGTTTTAGTTGTTAAATGGGATTCATAAAATACATGCTCCATGCTGGTGCTTCAGTGACATGTGAAGTTCAGTTTTTCTATTTGTGTTCTGTTGCTACACGTCTTCACAAGTAAACCACTTGGTGAAAAATATTTGGGAACTCGATCCATCATTAGTCACACCTCCCTCTGTAAGGTCCGGTGAACAGACTTTCGTGAGATGATCACAGCATAGCCGCCATCATACCTGTGCATCAGAGTTTGTAAAGTTGTATAATCCAATAAACCATGGTCCATGCAAAGTGCCATCTACACAATGATTTACAAATAAATTCCAGGGGCTTGAAAACAAATCCTAATCCATCTTAAATGTTTGGATGATCAGCCACAAGTTTCGGCTTCTTTGAGCTGCATGTGCAATCTGTTTCAGGACGGAGGCTCCACTTCCTCTGCCTGTGATGGTTCCACTGTAAAGAACAGAGACTCTTCTTCCACTTCAGAGGTCAGTTACAAGTTTTCATGGCACACTTTGTGAAACAAACTTAAGCCCAACAGGATTGTAAAAGAAGTGTGATGTTTAACTTCCAAACAGATTAAAAGCACATCCACTTCCAATGGCAACACCTCCACAGCTGCAGTCTCTGACATCTCCCACCTGGTCAGAAAGAAGGTGAGGTTTTTTAACTTGCATTGATGTGGTGTAGCTATAATGGTGAGCCTCATTTTACTGCTGCTGTGTATTGCAGAGGAAACCAGAGGAGAGTCCGGTGAAGGAGGATGTGAAGAAGGTGAAGCAGGACAACAGTCAGCCAGGCGAAACGCTTCTCACTAATGGAGATGCAGGTGAACACGCCAATGATATGGAAGTCGAAAGGTGAGGTGTCATTTCTGTCTGCTGTGCCGTTTACTACTTACAACCTCGAACTTGTCTGAAATCCCGTCATCCTCTGTTTCAGTAAGTGAAGCTGCACTTTGTCTCCGTTCAAGAAGAGATTCACCAGCACAACAAGCTCTTAACTGTCTCTTACACGTTTGCTGTTGTAAATACATGTTTGTTTGACATTATACTGTAAAATTCAATAAAGATGGTTGTATAAACCTGTGTTAAACCTTCATTACTGGAGCCATGAAAATGTTTTGTTTTCTGGCAGTTGATGAACTGTCCATAAATGTTTGTACTCACCACATAAGTGGCTCCTTTAGTCATACTGGTTCTACAGCATTCTTCAGTCTGACTTATTGTATTTAACCATGTGGTCTGAAGAGAGGATTCAGTGTGCCATGTGAGAGCAAAAGTGCAGTTTAATCAAGAGAATGCAAGAACCTGGGCCTTAGAGCTGATAGCTGAATACACGAACAGGAAAATTTAGCTGTGCAGTAACTGAAAGCCTGCGCTTAGATAAACAAAGGCTCTGTACCAACCTGATTAATATCACTGGTGTTTTTAATTACTAAAAACTTCTGATGCTATTTATGCTTTACAGCTTCCAATACTTCTCCTGGCTTAGTTCTACGTAGGGTGGCTCAAAATTTCTGCAGTCATAAATTTTTGACAAGACTCCTGACGTCCCTGGCTGAAATGCAGCCCCAAACCATGACACACCCTCCACTGTTTTACAGACGGCTGTAGACACCCACTGCCTTACCTCCCTCCTGGTCTCCTATACAAACTGATAATTTGAATGAAAATGTTCAAAATTAAATTCATCACTCCATAAAATTGTTGCCACTGACTTTTAATCCAGTTCTTATATATTTGTAAAATTTGGCATACCTCATCCTTTTGTTTCCCTCCCTTAAAAATGGCTTCTTGACAGCAACACCTGACCTTGATGAGCATTGTCATGTTTTTGTTGCATTATCTTATGTCTTAAGGACATGACTGTAGATCATGTTCAATGAGAGTTAAAAGCTCATTGAGAATAGTGTATGAAGATGTTCTGACTTGATGCAGCTGATTAGATGGTTTGTAATGATTTGTATAAACCACACGACT